TGGCCACTGAAGATGGGTGGGCTTCAACTCCCAGAATTCCCCAGCCGGTGTTTCTCAACCTTGGCCACTGAAGATGGGTGGGCTTCAACTCCCAGAATTCCCCAGCCGGTGTTTCTCAACCTTGGCCACTGAAGATGGGTGGGCTTCAGATCCCAGAATTCCCCAGCTGGTGTTTCTCAACCTTGGCCACTTGAAGATGGGTGGACTTCAACTCCCAGAATTCCCCAGCCGGTGTTTCTCAACCTTGGCCACTGAAGATGGGTGGGCTTCAGATCCCAGAATTCCCCAGCTGGTGTTTCTCAACCTTGGCCACTGAAGATGGGTGGGCTTCAGATCCCAGAATTCCCCAGCTGGTGTTTCTCAACCTTGGCCACTGAAGATGGGTGGGCTTCAGATCCCAGAATTCCCCAGCTGGTGTTTCTCAACCTTGGCCACTGAAGATGGGTGGGCTTCAGATCCCAGAATTCCCCAGCTGGTGTTTCTCAACCTTGGCCACTGAAGATGGGTGGGCTTCAGATCCCAGAATTCCCCAGCTGGTGTTTCTCAACCTTGGCCACTGAAGATGGGTGGGCTTCAGATCCCAGAATTCCCCAGCTGGTGTTTCTCAACCTTGGCCACTGAAGATGGGTGGGCTTCAGATCCCAGAATTCCCCAGCTGGTGTTTCTCAACCTTGGCCACTGAAGATGGGTGGGCTTCAGATCCCAGAATTCCCCAGCTGGTGTTTCTCAACCTTGGCCACTGAAGATGGGTGGGCTTCAGATCCCAGAATTCCCCAGCTGGTGTTTCTCAACCTTGGCCACTGAAGATGGGTGGGCTTCAGATCCCAGAATTCCCCAGCTGGTGTTTCTCAACCTTGGCCACTGAAGATGGGTGGGCTTCAGATCCCAGAATTCCCCAGCTGGTGTTTCTCAACCTTGGCCACTGAAGATGGGTGGGCTTCAGATCCCAGAATTCCCCAGCTGGTGTTTCTCAACCTTGGCCACTGAAGATGGGTGGGCTTCAGATCCCAGAATTCCCCAGCTGGTGTTTCTCAACCTTGGCCACTGAAGATGGGTGGGCTTCAGATCCCAGAATTCCCCAGCTGGTGTTTCTCAACCTTGGCCACTGAAGATGGGTGGGCTTCAACTGAAACACCGGCTGGGGAATTCTGGGAGTTGAAGTCCACCCATCTTCAAGTGGCCAAGGTTGAGAAACTCTGCGTTAGGGTAATCTTAATGTCCGCCCCTGTGTTAAACACCCAAACACCACAATAAACACAACTAGACAATGAGAAGAAGACAATGAAACTTGGGGAAAGGTGGCTTCGTCGTAAAGATGCAACTCAAAGGTTCTTCCCAGCTTCCCTGGACTCGTCTGCGCTTCCCCGCGGGAGGGGCCCCTCGCCGTTTGGGAAAGCCCGGGCTGGACGGGTCTCGCTCGCGCGCAACTCCCAGGCAGAAGCGAAGCGCCGCGTCTGGCGGCGATGGACGTGGGCGAGCTGAGCCCCGCGCGCGATCCTGCAACCCGCGCAGGGGCAGCGCTTGCAGCGCCCGAGGGAACTTCGTGGGCCCAACCCTGGTTTGGCGAGGATCTGCAGATAAAGTCCAACCGCTCAAGGATGGTTGCGGGACCCGGGCAGGGAAGCTCCCAGCCCGCTTCTCCATCTCAACGCTTCAAGCCGGCTTTTTGCTCCTATTTAAGGAGAGCTAGTTTGCTCCCCTTAGCATATCGGCAACGATCATTCTCGCTACTCTCTTCTACCAATCGCTTATCCCTGTTTTAAATAAATTGTCTCTCCGCTGTTTCGGTGCGGTTGATAATCCCGGGATTGGGATCTCCGTTAATTTTTGTGGGGGGGGGGGGAACCAGAGTCAGAATGTGGCACAGGGTAGAAGGGGGTCCCACATCAGGGAGCTGGGATTTTCCACTGTTTTCCCCATGTTTTGGTGTAGGATTTTTTAAAAGTTTATTGAAACTTTATTAAACCTGTTTTAGTGCTGGTCCGGTGCTAGAGTTTGGCCAACATCTGATAAGATATTGGATTAAATGGGCCTTTGGCCCAAAGATGAAATAATTACACTTTTATAGTATTCCATTATCCTGTTGCACCACTTGTCTCATCTTCAGGCTAAAATACAGACTTCAGAGCTCTGGTTATCTTTCCTAATTTTTCAATTCTGAAAGATTCACTAATCTGTTTCTTTGTTTTGTTATGCATTAGCCCAGTGTATCTCAACCTTGGTCACTTGAAGATGGGTGGACTTCAACTGCCAGAATTCCCCAGCCAGCCTGGCTGGCTGGGGAATTC